TCCGTCTCTATGAAACTATAAGATCATAACGAACGCTTTTTCATTATTTGTTCATGCCTTTTAAATTTTTCTTAAAAAGATTTGCAACAATTCCCGTTTACACTAAGAAAATGTTATTTTAATTGTAAAACACATTTGGGCTTGCTTAATGAATGAAGTCGGGCGTATTATTCACTCTTGCAAGTGGTCGGTAATCATACCAGATTTTCAAATTACGGACTTACACGGCAGATAGCCACTCCTTAAGCTGAAAGATAGAAACAGACTGCAAGAATATTTATTTAAAAGAAATATTGCTCCATTTTGGCATAAGGTTACAAATATGAAACAAATAACGGGGAGCTCACACACTACACATTAATGTGTATGTGTGTGTACATATAGGCGCGTCAATAAATACGTAGCTTAACAACTGTAAAAGCGTTTATTTTGCAAAAAAAATGTTTTTCAGCATTATCTCTTTCCTTGTCAATGCACTTAATTCATTAGTGAATATTAACTACATAGCATGAACATTACCCAATGAACACTCGGAACAAATTTCTTATGACTGTGTATCCTGCTACATTGATCTACATTTTATATATATATATATATATATATATATATATATATATATATATATATATATATATGTGTGTGTGTGTGTGTGTGTGCGCGCGTGTGTGCGTGTGTGTGTGTGTGTGTGCGTATCTGTGTGTATGCGTGTGTGTATGCGTGTGTGTGTGTGTGAGAGAGAGTATAAGAAAAAATGCGAGAAATAGTTTAAGTAAAACGATCGTAAAAGTACAAGGAAGTGTTAAAAAAGATAAAGAGAGTTTGAAAGTAAGAGTGAAATACGTTAACAGATTCTTTTCGAACTCCTTCCTTACACTTTGGTAGTTTAGATGTTTCAATTTTAGTCATTGCTATTTTTATTCATTACTAACAGTGACGTGTTGTTACGTCCCCTGTCGAGGAACACTCGACTATCTAGGTAGTGATTATAGTCGAGGCCTAGCCTTATTCTCATTAGACGAGTTTGTTTTAGGGGTTTCCGTCAAAATAAGACGAATATTCATCCAACAGACATTCCTTATTAGTTGTTAACTGCTGGCAAACTTACCAAGGGATTTATAATCCGGAGATAAGAGACCCCGGTACATCTATATATTTCGTCTTCAGAGAAAGAAACAGACGATTATCACTAAAAAGCTTTTATTTTTAGTTATGCGAGCAACAGTTTGTGACTTCACAGAATATTTGTACATACACTTAATGCAATATAATCTCTCTATATAAATGCAAACGCGCGCACTAGCAGACGCACTAACACAAGCACTTACACACACGGAAACAAACAGATATAACAACACACAGATATAAATATACATACACGAGAGTGTGCTAAAAAGTTCTCAAAAATCTCTTCAGAATGCCTTTTATAGTCCTTTGATATAATTGTACAGCTTACGTTTTTTAATATTTAGATTTTTAATAAACCTCTAAATATAGATACGATGATATATTAAAAGAATTTAATAGATTGCTTATATTAGGAGAGAAAACAGGATTAGACTTTTAAATGAAATTTAAATTAAAAAAATCCGACGAAGTTCAAAATCGTTTTAAATTTTAGAACTTTTAGCGGTTAACTTGTCTCAAAATAAATAACTTGACCCCAAGCCACAAAAATTTTGCTCAAATAGATATGAATTCTGTATTTAAAGACGACGAAGTTAGGCTTCTTTTTGAACAGTCAACCAGCAATCATGGCGGCTGTGTCATAATGTTGTGGGGATGCTTTAATGGCTCTGGTATTGGAAGAAGTGAACTTATGTTGAAATCAGATGATTACCAAAGGATTTTAGATCGAAATTTGTTACCCACTATATGAAAACGATATTGGATTGAGGGTCATGGTTTCTTCAGTGTAATATAATCCAAAGCGTACTTAAAAAAACATGAATTGTTTAATTGGAAAGCAATGAGTCTTGATCCCATCTAAAATGATCTTTATGTAAATTAATCCCAAGGTAGGGAAAAGGGAATCTTGAAATATTCAAGAATTTAAACAAATTGCAAAGAAAAAGTGGAAAAAAAAACTATCGATGACTGAAAAAGACTTTGTAGTTTGAAAGAATGCTTCGTTTACGTAAAGTTACTTTATTCATCCTATTAAAACGATAAATGATTAAAATGAAGATAAACATTTAATAAATTCATATTTATTTCTAAAGATATTGTACAGGATATAAAAAAATTACATCTGCAATTTTGCCCATAATAGCACTGCAAATGGATATCTGAAAGTACTTTCCTGGTAAGTTATGGCAAATATTTTTACGTTCATCATTTAGTTTTGAAGAATCACTTGACCGACGATAAGTCTCTTCTGTATTCATATATTTCACTTTCATGAATATAAATATATACGTTTACTCTTATGTAATTTATGTAGAACAAGGCTTTGATTTTTTTTCACTGACCTTACATATATAGTTCCCAAATAAACTATTAGACAAATTAAATTACGATGTAATTAAGTCAGTTAGAAAATTCTCTTGTAATACATTTGTTGCTAATCGTTTACTTTTTCATGATATTGCTTCCCTTTTCTTCTCTTTGCACATCAAATCAGCTTTTGTGTCAGTTGTTTTTTCAGCGAACATTGTTAGAAAAATGATATTCAAAAACTAAATATCATTGCAAGTATTCAGTTCTTAATAACTTCAGAAAATTGGCCTTCTGAACTTTTACATTAACAAAAAAAGAAACAAAGAAATTATTAACACTTATACACAGCAGGACATAGATGAAGGAACGTCGTTGTACAGTTATTAAGAATATTTATCAACCGAAAAGAATCTTTTGAATGACGCAGTATTTAAAAATATCGCTCAAGTAGAATAGAAAATAATATGAAAATATAAACAGAGAAACAAAGAAATCTTGATAGTTTCCGCTAATGGCTTTTTTAACATATGCAAACTTAAAAGTTTTGCAAAAATTAAAATAAATTCATCTTTGAAAAGTCAACTGTTCTTGAATTTGTAATTTTACTATAATGAGGAGATAAAATTATCCCAACTAATTTCTTTTTATCCTGGGGCACCTATAACCAAATTCGTCACTATGGGAACAGTTTTGGAAAATTGCATCCATATGTAGCTAGCCGGTGCCAATGCTGCCCAAGGTGGCAAACAAGTTCCTCACTTCGACATCATCTGATTTTAATTAAAAAGAAAAAAAATGCCTGCCTTTATACGTTTTTGTTTGACGTGCACATTTGCTGATATGCATTTATTAGGAATAGAAGAAAATTATCCCTAAAAATTTAATTTTTATCAGATTTTGAGAATTCCTGTTGTTATTTATGTTCGTCGAAGATTTGGGGAAGCATATGATGCTCAATGTATTGCCCCAACTGTAAAATTTGGAGGTGGGAGTAATATGGTTTGGGGCTGCATGTCGTCTTCCAGGACAAGAATCTTATTGACATGTGAGGGTAGAATGAATTCCAACACTTACACAAGCATGTTAGACCAATGTTACCAACTTTCATTGGAGAAAATTTTCAGCAATACTATACCAGATGGAGTAATCTTCCAACAGGACAACGCACCATGCCACACATGCAAAGGTTAGTCTGAAAAGAAAGAAGTGGGAGCAATGAAGTGTACTCCCCAATCCCCTGACCTGAATACCATTGAACATCTGGGGTCATACTTAGTTACAAAAGTGAGGGTCCACAAATATTCAGCAAAACGCAAATTAGAAGCGAAACTTCATGAAGAATGGTAGAAAATCGAGCAAAATATTCCTGCTAAGCTGGTTTTCAATATGAAAAAGCGCATAAATACATAACATAACATAAATGTGTGTGTGTGTGTATATATATATATATATATCAAAGAAACAATTTATAATTTATAAAAATAATTAAAATAATTAAATAGCAATGTTAATGTGATTAATGGCGAAATCACTTCGCTAACAGAACTAGTGTTTGGCATGTGTCTTTCATCTGACAACAATTCGAATATAAGGATCTTATTATTCTAGGAATCGATAGTAAGTTAATGTCTCATTAAGTTTTGTTAGCAATGTTAATCACATTAACATTGCTATTTAATTCTTTGTATAAATTGTTTCTTTATTATATAAAATATAAGCTGCACACTCAATGCACACAATATATATATATGTGTGTGTGTGTGTATGTGTGTGTGTATGTGTTAGTGTGTGTGGGTGTATGGGTTTGTGTGTGTGCGTGTGTGTGAATGGTTAGAGCTAAATAGTGCCTCTTGAAAGTCCATGGCTTAGAGCATTCATTGATATCAGACATAAGCCATAAGTTTCCTTTTCTTTTTGCGTCATATAATTATTATTTTAATATACCTTTCCAAAGATAAAAGTATTAATCTAACTCCATCTGACAGTACCCAGTTGTGAACGAAAATATGGAAATGTTAGATGATAAGTAATTTTACTCTTTTTTTTCTCTTCAGTGGTCGTTCTATGAGAATCAGTGAGTGTTAAAAATACCACAACGATGAGGATATTAGTCATATAAATGCAATCAATGTAAATAATAAATAGTCTATAAGAAGAATAGACTACCAAAGAAAGAAAATTACTCATCTTGTGGCGTAGAAAACGCAAACTGTTCTTTGATGAGACATATTGATTGACACCATTACAAATTTTTGAGGGTCGGGTAAAAAATGACAAAACAATAAAGTACATCCTAAAAAGAAATGAGTTGTCAAGGTTTCCATCTTAGGGAGCATGGGTTTGGTCCAGTTTTCTAGACCTTTCACTTGGATAGGTCAGTTGTTCTGGACTAAAAATGGACCAAACTTAAACAAATATATAGAGAGTTTGATGGTCTTCTATGACAAAGGAGATAATCAGATAAATACGTAACTCTAAAATGTTAAGACCCAATCTGGACTGGATAGGAAGTTGACTGACAGAAAAGTTGACCGAAAGTCAGAGGGAAATACAGGATGACAGACCGAAAGACAAGGCCGGTCAGATAGAAAGGCTGACAGACAGACAGACAGACAGACAGATAGATAGATAGATAGATAGATAGATAGATAGATAGATAGATAGTGTGTGTATCTCTGATCGGCAATACCAACTGCTGATTATAAAAGCATAAACATGTATTCAAGATATGCTTATAAATGTGTTGGTTGATAGTTATATATATAACTCTGTGTGTGTGTGAGTGGTTTCTAAAATGCTACAAAAGAGTAATTGCTATCAGTATTCGCTTATGTGGGTATGAAATTAGCTTAGATCAAAACAAAAACTTTCGTGCCATTTTGTGTGTGCCATCACACAAATACACATAAACACACATATATATCCATTTTTTCCTCCTGAAAAAAAATTCTGTCCGTATCTACTTACACATATGCGTAGATATAAATATGTATACATGGGTATACAGACTATTATATGCACAAACGACAATACATGTGTGTGTGTAGGCGTATTACAACATCTAAATGAGGGGCTTACATCATGTTGAAACTTTGGTTCCCGTAGGATCACCGAAGTTAAGCAACCTTAAGCCTGTTCAGTACCTAGATGGGTGAATGCTTGGGAATACCAGGTGCTGTAAACTTGGATGTACAGGTGGTGTAATGGATAATGGCTCGGAATTGTTAATCGGAGAATAGTGTTCCAATTCCCGTTGGGTTAGTTACTTGCGTGCAAATAAACTTGGGAAAGGTATGAATCCACCTCTTTTCCCAGCCCAAACTATAAGTTAATTAGTAAAATTGTATCACTAAACCATTATTATATCTCCCGCAAAACAGAATCAATCAAAATGAGCAATATATATTATCCAAAATCGAAATAATATTATTGATTCGTTATTTAAGTAAGGATTTTAAAGTTTATATATCACAAATTAAAAGTCAAATGTTGTTAATGAAATAGTTTAAATGGAAATAGTTTTATTATTGTTCAGAAACATTTTAATATTGAGTTCTTTCGATGGAGTTTGTTTTAGGAGGATGTATTTGTTTATATGTCAAGCAAAATGTGAGTGCGACTACAAAGGAATGCAGAAAAATTTTCGGTCAAAAATACTTTACAACATCTGAACAATGACAAAACATTAGATTATTCTTGTAGTTTTTTTTTATTATTAAATTACCTGCCTATCTTCAAATGATGCAGACTCTAAAAGCCACTACGATCATCAAGTATTCAAATATATACTCTACTGAAAACTCCTAACCTGTTTGCTACTGTTTTTAATCTTAACTCTTTTTTAAATTTGCATAAGAGAACAATTTGGCTCCCAAATCTCATTTTTGTAGTAGTAATAAAAAAGAAAATATTATGGAAATATTGAAAGAGAAAGGAAACTCAGTGATAATATATTTTCTTGCTATTAGAGAACGCTGTTTACCGCCCTTATAGTTCAATATCGGTCCTGCAAAAAATGGCGGACGGACATTCGTAAAGACGTACAGGAAATGAAAGAAAAACTACTTACAATCGTTCAGTCAGACATTAATGGATTTGGGCTAATGAAGAAATATATTGGCTGAATTTCTTTGTATTCATAAAACTATCGGTCATTTCAGACAGGCGTATGTATATATTTAGCTCTGTATATGAAATTAAACTTGCAGCATACGTAGATATACAAAAGAGAATTGTAAGTACATGCGGGTGTACACGCACAATCATAAGTACATTATTATATATATATATATATATATATATATATATATATATATATATATATATATATATATTGGATTAAATAAGGGCCTTCCTCTCCTAAATTATATACATAAAAAGAAAGAAAGTGGAAATTAAAAAATGATTGAGAGAAAACGAGAAAAGAAAAGAAAATCAGAAGAAAGAAAAAGACAAAGAAAATGGATAACGGAAAAATGAAAGGAAAGACTAAGATAAAAGCAATAACTAAACAGAAACGACACAAAGAGAGACGAGTGTAAGTAGCAAGATAAAGAACACATACATGCTGAGTCGGACACACATTCGTATGCTCAAGCAGACACACATTCGTATTATACCGGTGTAACAGTAAAATTGTACAAATTGGGTAACAGCATAATTGTAAATCCTACACAATGTTTGATATCTAAAAAAATCCCACTAAACTAATTGAGTTTCTTTTACGACATTGAGCCATCTTGACACCATTTGTCGTAAGAATCACTGAAAAAGCCTTTGAGTTATTCAACTAGAAAGAGAACTTGGTAAAATTATTTTGTTAGCCCCACTATGTTTTCCCAACTGAGCAATAGTGAGAGGAAACGATCATTCTGGTCTTTAGTAATGGTAACAACATTCATACTCTGGCTTCCCTGTTCAAAGTCCGTTCAAGAACCATCAAGAGAACGGTGAATAAGTTTAAAAAAGAGGGAACAGTAGAGAGGAAAACTGGATCTGAAGGTCACAACAGAAAAAGGGATTCAACTTAGAGCTAAAGAGATCAATTAGAAATGATCCAACTCAATCCATAAGAGTACATGAGAGAGGAGTTTCGACTATGACAGTCCAAAGATCGGTGAAAAAAGACTTGAAAATGAAATCATGCGTAAAACATGTGAGGCACCTTGTTACTCAAGGACAGAATGTTAGAAGGTTAGAGAGGGCGAAGATCATCTTGAATAAGTTGGGAAATAATCCTGGAATAATATATATATATATATATATATATATATATATATATATATTTGAATTTTATATCAATCCTTCATGAACTGCCGATTCTTAGCTATGATTCATTATGAACATGTCATTTTCGTTTATGATCGATTTCATAACGTTTCTTCTGTTAAGCTTGGAGAGTAATTATACATGTTTATTGCTCAAATTATAGTCCAGTGATGTTATAAAATGCTCGGAGGATTCCGGTAAGATATTTTTAATCATTTCCAAGGTACAACGGTTCTGAGCTTAATCTAACAACTGGACAATTTTGCTGTTATTCAATAAAATCGCCGTTGACTTCTACCACGGCTCAATACGACTTTGGAATCTCCTGCAACTCCTCTGGACGGTCTCCTTTTTTAAGTTTAAGTTAGTGAATACTGCCATAATCCTTCCCTTCAGTACATCTTCGTTGTTACAAGGAGTTTTGATGGTTTCTCGCTCAACTGCACCCACCCACATATAATAATGAAGCGGGGTTGTAGTCTGGGTAGTTAGGTGGCCAGATGTATGGGGTGGTGATGTGGTATGGTTGCAGAAACTGTCTGACAGCCATAACTGGGTTCTCCTGCTTGTGTGGCATGGTGCAGAGTCCTTTTGCTAGACATAGGGTTTTCCAGCAACTAACGTCTTAACCCAGGTAAGAACGACGCACTTGATCTAGGCCTCTATGTTCTGTCTGAGACCTTGTGGGAAGATGAATGGAGGTATAACATCGCCATCACCAACTCTAGTGATCACGCCAGACACTTTCATAATCACCATTAGAATCATCCGAATATTTCTGAATCCTCTGCACTGCATCATGGTGCTCTTTTTCTCACAGACGATGCCAACTGAACGTACTATACTGTGCAGTCGACAAAATAAAAAACAAACAAAACTTTCTCTCTCAATCTCTCCCTCTCTCCCTCTCTCTCTCTCTGAGATATAGAGATTGATATATATATATATATATATATATATATATATATATATATATATACAGGGCACGATGGTTATATTGTCGTCATTTTATATTTTTAATTCAATATAAAATGACGACAATTTACCCATCAGGCACTGTATATATATATATATATATATATATATATATAGAGAGAGAGAGAGAGAGAGAATATATATACCCTCTCTCTCTTTCTCTCTCTCTCTCTATATATATATATATATATATATATATATATATATATGAAACGGGTACTGAAATGAACAACAGAATCGACAAATTTTGTTGAGTTTCACAATAATTTCCTTGCGAAAAGCATGGTTATATTTCTTTTCTATTTAATTTTAATAGCACATCAGTTGAAAACATTTAACTCGTCGGAACAGCCCAACATGGGTATCGATCCCCGTAAAAATCCCCTTTGTTCGAGTAGCTTGTACAGTCTCAGTCATCTTTCAATAAAGTGAATATTATCAATATGGTAGACAAGATTAACACATATTACTGACAAAAAAATCTATATACACAGTAATAAAAACTATATAAGTATTCTTATATAAGCTCTCACCTCCTAATATTAGTTCAAACACTTGCTTAACCTAAGTACTTTTTGATAGTCATAATTCTAACATTAACACATAGACCGACAGCACAGTTATGGGATGACACATTGGCCTCATTTTCTCCACTTTCAATTTGACTCATGTCTATATCTTTAATAATTTCAACAAACCTATTATATGTATTCAGTACATCGAAAACATAAACGAAAATCATTTACGAAATAAAATTTTTTAAATCTTCGAGAATAATTCGGCTCTACACTTATGATTGATAGCACTGATAATATAGTCCATTTCCTTTAATAGACTCTAAATTATAATTTAACTACTTCACTCTAAAAAGACGACACAGCACATGAAGAAACCCGTGTCTTCTCAATTACAAACATGAAAATTCTCACAAATATAATATTAACTTATGAATATAGTCAGTGGTGCATTATGGATAGTAAGGTATATTCTGTATTATTCTGATGGTTATTGGATGGGCAGTACAGGTTATGTTTCAAATTATTCTACAGGAAATTGTGTGTAAATAATTGTGAATCCGAATGCGGTTATTTCTTAACTTTTTCATTATTAATTATTATTGATGACTTAATTATTTCTTATTGATTATTATCGTATTTGCTTGTATTTATGTGTTCATTCGTAGTTTGTTAATTTTTGTATTATTTACTTAATTTGGTTACTTATTTATTTAGACTTTTGTTTGTTTTATTTCATTTCGGAGGTTTGTTATTTTATTTATATACTTTTAGTATTGGCTTTATATGTTGTCTTATCTGCGTTGTATATAGTGCATATATTAGCATTTTCCTTTACTTAACAATTGAAAATCAAAAATGAATATTTGTAAAATGCCACCATGAAAAATGCAAATAACCGTTACCTCCCTCCCAATAATCGTCATGATAATAAAATGAACATAAATGGGATATATATACACACACACACACACACACACACACACACACACACACACATATATATATATATATATATATATATTAATGATAACATTTCCGATGCTCATTCTTTGATTGTAATCAGCTACCAAAGAGAAAAACAAAAGCCCATGAGGTAAACATCATTGCAGGACGAGCAATAAATTCTTTTTCTCTGCGCATGCCTTCCTGTATATCTCTTGAACCTGAATTTAAATCCGACAAAAATAATTCTTCAATCTTCCTATTCATTAATCCACCGGAAAAGAGTGTCGACGCGATGACCCATATTCTACCAATTAGGTCAGTATGTGGTTGAATGCGAAATGAAAAAATTATGTACACAGATTTTTTTCGAACAGAAATCATTTGGACGTATTGGACATATGAACCTATGTTGCCGTTACTATTCTAACACAAATTACTAACTTAAAACTGAAAAGTAGTTGCATATCGATTAGTTTTTTTTTTATTAATTCGATTGAATTCAAATAACGGCGAGTGTACTCTGCGTCGAATTGTATGTACCATGATTAGTGCGTCCATGTTGTTCAATAGGTGTGAAAGATCTTTTCTCCCAGCTTAGTTTAGGATTTATATTAATTATATGACATTTGGTTTATTTTTTGTGTTTATTTTTGTTTGCGAGGCGTACATGCATAGGTATGAGCCGTTTTATCTTCTTTGGTATATATAGCAATATATATTGATATATTTGAATTATCATTGAATATATCTATATCTGAATTATCTTTATGATGGTCAACAAACATTTCTATGAATACGCATAAGGTCCAAAAACTTTTCGCTTTTTATAGATTTTATAGATACTGGCGGACACCAATCTTAACAACAGTAGACATATAGATGACAAAGTGTTGATAGCAGACAGAGAAAAGAAACTACTGGAACTCCTTCAGAAGTTAGTAAAGGAAAGCAAAAAGAAAGAACTAAAAATCAATTCTAAGAAGAGGGAATGTAAGGTTGTCAGTAAAAGGAATTGCCCAACATGCGAACTATAAATTGTAAGCACTAAAATCAAGCAAGTAGAAAAATTTAAATATCTAGGAAGTGTTTTAGCAAAGGAAGGAATATGCGACATCGAAATCAGGATAGTGAATAATGTCTGTCAAAAGTTAAGTAAAGTATTAAGAAACAAAGAAAAAGAAAAGTATATTGAACTCCTATGTAATATCAGTCCTTCTATATGACAGTGAATACTGGAAAAATTCATCACGGATGAAGAAGAAACAGGCAACAAAAATGTGGTTTTTTAGAAGGATGCGGAAAATACCAAGAACTGAACATGCGAGCAATGACAAAATTTAGAGAAATTAGAGACAAAAAGGACACTTATACTTAGAACCAGAAAAAGTCAGTTGAAATTTTTAGGGAACATAATGAGGAAAATGGGCTTATTTTACATTCACAGGCAATTTTGAAATGAAATCTACGCATAATCTACCTAACGAGTTTTTTTTTTTATAAAAGGTTGGCTGAACAGGGATTAGGAGAGATAGCAAAAAGACAATCTACTTAGAGTTAAAAAGGACATAAAATTGTGGAGATCCATGGTGAAGGAGCACATCACATAGAAGAAGAGCAAGACTGGTAAGCTAGTCAGTCATATATATATATATATATATATATATATATATATATATATATATATATATATATATATTACTTCATTATTATCTCAAATCCTCCTAATAATTTCTATTACTTGCATATCCTTGCTTGAATCGGATTCTAATGCTTTGAATGGAG